CAGGTATTGCGAATCTTGCATCCAAATATTTCCGATCAAATCTTTGTAGTTTTTGGGACATGACGTTTTTTCAAGTCCTTTTAGTTTTTGAGACATGACGTTTTTATTGGTTTGTTTAAAAAAGATTCAGACTCAATTTTAAGTTTAATTTTCAAAATTTGAAATTTCTCAAACCTGTAGCTGGGGGCTGTCGTAGTTTTCTCAGGGGTTGCTAATCTTTATACTAATTTAACTGCTCAAATTGTTTTTTTTTGGTTTCCAGATATGAAGTTTTGTGTGATTTTTTCGAAATTTGTTCAGAAAACTTTAATATAAGTGCTTAAAACATTGAAATTCCTAACCCTGTAATTGGGGACTGTCAGAGTACTCCCATGTGTTGTGAATCTTACCTCCAAATATGACTGTTTTTGTTTTTTTTTTAAATTGCAAAACTCAAATTACCATGTCTCAAATTTTTTCAATTTATATAACTCAAATTACATAAAACTCAAATTACAAAATTTTTCACGAAATACATAATTAATGAAATTCTTAAACTTCTGGATGGTTGCTGTCAGATTTTTCTGGAGGATAGCGAATCTTGCCTCAAAATATGACTGCTCAATCCTTGCAGTTTTCGAGACAGGACTTTTCTTATGTTTTTTCAGAAAAGTTTTCAGAAAACTTACGTTTAAATTTTTCCAATATTAAGTTTTTCCAATATTTGAAGTTTTCAAACCTGTATTTGGGAGCTGTCAGAGTACTCTCAGGGGTTGCGAGTCTCTCCTCTAATTGTGAAATTTTTTTAGATATGACGTTTTCTGTGATTTTTGTTAAGAAAACTTAAATTTAATTTTAAAAAAATTGAAATTCCTAGCACTGTAGTTGGGAACTGTCAGTAAGGGAGTAATTCATTTAGGTGTTGCGAGTCTTGCATCCAAATGTCTGCTCAAATTTTTGTGGTTCTAGTAACATGACGTTTTTTGATGGTTTTGCTTACAAATTATCAAATAATTCACGAAATTCCCAACCCTGTAATTGGGTCTTTTTGAAACTTGTCAAAGAATTTGGAATTTGAATTTTCTATCTCTATGGTGAGGCGCTGTCAAGGCAATCTCAAGGGTTGCAAAACTTGCCTCCATATGACTGCTCAAATCTTTGAAGTTAAGGAGATATGATGTTTTTGTGAGAAAATATTGAGAAAACTTGAATTTAAAAAAAAGTTCACCAATTTTGAATCTAAATGGAGCTGCCCGGGTACCTCGAGAGGTAACGGTTCTTGTCTCCAAGTATGACTGCTCAAATCTTTGCAGTTTTGAGATAATACAATGTTTCAGAAAACTTGGATTTGAAAAAAAAATCAAACATTTGAAACTTATAATTCTGCAGTTGGGTACTGTGAGGGTTTTTATCAGGGATTGCAAACTTTAATGTAAGTGCTTAAAACATTGAAATTCCTAACCCTGTAGTTGGGGACTGTCAGAGTACTCCCATGTGTTGTGAATCTTACCTCCAAATATGACTGTTATTGTTTTTTTTTTTTTTCAAATTGCAAAAGTCAAATTACAAAGTCTCAAATTTTTTCAAATTATATAACTCAAATTACATAAAACTCAAATCACAAATTATTTCACAAAATATATAATTAATGAAATTCTCAAACTTCTGGATGGTTGCAGTCAGATTTTTCTGGAGGATAGCAAATCTTGCCTCTAAATATGACTGCTCAATCCTTGCAGTTTTCGAGACAGGACTTTTCTTATGTTTTTTCAGAAAAGTTTTCAGAAAACTTACGTTTAAATTTTCCCAATATTAAGTTTTTCCAATATTTGAAATTTTCAAACCTGTATTTGGGAGCTGTCAGAGTACTCTCAGGGGTGCGAGTCTCTCCTCTAATTGTGAAATTTTTTTAGATATGACGTTTTTCCAGATATGACGTTTTCTGTGATTTTTGTTAAGAAAACTTAAATTTAATTTAAGAAAAATTGAAAATCCTAGCACTGTAGTTAGGGGCTGTCAGTAAGGGAGTAATTCTTTTAGGTGTTGCGAGTCTTGCATCCAAATTTCTGCTCGAATTTTTGTGGTTCTAGTAACATGACGTGTTTTGATGGTTTTATTTACAAATTATCAAATAATTCACTGAATTCCCAACCCTGTAATTGGGTCTTTTTGAAATTTGTCAAAAAAATTGGAATTTGAATTTTCTATCTCTATGGTGAGGCGCTGTCAAGGCAATCTCAAGGGTTGCAAATCTTGCCTCCATATGACTGCTCAAATCTTTGAAGTTAAGGAGATATGATGTTTTGGTGATAAAATATTGAGAAAACTTGAATTAAAAAAAAATGTTCACCAATTTTGAATCTCTAAGTGGCGCTGCCCCGGTACCTCGAGAGGTAACGGTTCTTGTCTCCAAGTATGACTGCTCAAATCTTTGTAGTTTTCGAGATAATACAATGTTTCAGAAAACTTGGATTTGGAAAAAAAAATCAAACATTTGAAACTTCTAATTCTGCAGTTGCGTACTGTGAGGGTTTTTATCAGGAATTGCAAATCTTGCGTCCTAATGCGACTGCTCAAATGCATTTTTTAAAAAGAGATCTGACGTTTTTCAATGATTTTTTCATAGAAATTAACTTCAAGAAATCATTAATTGGAAGTTCCCATCTTTATAGTGAGGTAAATTTGTTGTCAGGATACTCTCAGGCGTTGTGAAACTTTCTTCTACATCTGAAACTTTTCTCTAAATATGTTTTTTAATTATTAGTGAGATATAATGTTGGTTATGAATTTTTGAAAATCTCTCGGGAAACTTAGGTTTAAAAATACGCGAGTTTCCCAACCCTGTAGTTGGTTGCTTTCAGCGTACTCTCAGGGATGACAGTTTTCCCCTCTATATATGACGTCTAGTTGATGTTTTCCAAAAAAGTTATAAAGAAGAAGTTCACAAAATATAATTTGAAATTCACAATCTTTTCGAAAAAATATAATTTGAAATTCACAATCTTTTCGAAAACTTGAGGTACAATAAACAAGAGGTAAAAAATTTTACAAACTTCAAAATTCTCAACAAAATTTGTGCTCTCAGGTTACTCTCAGTATTTGCAAAGTTTGCCTTCAAATTTCTCCAAAGGCGCTTCAAGTGTCTTAGACATGAAGTTTTTATATGATGATTATGAAATTTTGAAAATTATGAAGTTACCAGCCCTGCAATTGGGTGCTGCCAAAGTACATCTTCAGAGGTTGCAGATCTTGTTTTCAATATATGCCGTTTTTGTGAGTTACCAAAAATTCGAAGCCTCGGAGGTGCGTTATACGCTAGTTGAATTGAAATCTTAGTTGCACAAGAATCTCATCGATTAAAATGGATTTTTTTTGACAATTTATTCGAAATTTCATTTGATTGACTAAGTGTGGCTGTATGCTGTCAGCCTTTTTGGAATCTTATCTGTGAGATAAAGATACAAAAATCTGAAACACAATTTTTTTGGAGGTTTGAATATTTTCTTATATTTTTGGTTTGTTTTGATTCGTTCATTTTAAGAAATATAAAGTGCTGTTGGATGCCCCTGTCTGTTTTCACGAGTCCTTTAATTTTTTTGCTTGCTTCTATATGTTTAGGAAGCGTTTTTCCACCTTCACCAATCTTCTTGAAGCGCCGAAACAATCTTCTAAATCTTTCTCATTTATGTCAGTTTTGCACTTCGGTGGGGTTCCGTCTTTCGGGCCGCGTTAGTTCAGTTATGGTGGGTAGTTCCGTCTAGTCTAACGGTTGCTTTTAGTTGCAGTTTGATTTCTTTTTAATCATCATCAACACAAATGTTTTTGTTCACCCGTTTCTTGTATTCAAAGGTGTTTGCAATTCAAAGCATCGTACGGACTCTAAAATGAGCTTCTAGGATTTGCATCAGCGTCGTCTGCGTCTCCTCTTGATGACCATAGGGTTCTCAATCTCTGATAGCATCGAAGAAATCCTTCGCTAGGTCGCGCACGCACGCCATTCGCGGTATGCTGAAGTCCTTCGGCGTAAACGTGCTTCCGGTAACTAAGTTTTACCGTTCTGAAAAATGCGATCCTATGCCATCTTGTCACATTCCGGTAGCAATTGTTGACTCTCCTAATTAGCGAATTTGCACAGTCACGACTGATAAGGTACATAACAACGGTTTTTAAATTCCAATCTGGTAGCTTTAAAATTATTTATTTTCATAGTCTCCTCTACGTCACACTCGTTCATGATCTGGTGGCCTGCTCGGTCGAATAAATGTTTGTGCCTCCCATGAGTACGACGGTTCGTATTTGCATCTTTTTAGATTTCCATTTTAAAGTTCAATTAATTTCATTTGAAAAAAGGAAGGCTAATTACTCTCTCGAAAAATGAAAGTCGACGTGTAGCGAAAAAGAATGTGAACGACCTCTAGTTTCGGAAGTAGATTCTAATTTTATAGTTTCCTGGTGCAATACAAAAACTTTCCTATTGATGCAGTTTTCTCAAATTAAACTGCATCTGGATTACTTTCATGAAAAATGTGTCAAACATAGTTTTTTTTAAATTATAAGAGCTTTAAGGTATACATATTTCTTTTCGAAATTCGGATTTTCAAAACAAAGAAGTCCGTTTTTTCTGCTTTCTTGACCTTTTTAACTTTCTGTTAATCATATTATAATTTTTCTAGTCAAGCTTTTTCGAAATTTTTGTTGACAATTGTTTTCTCTTACCGCAAAGCTTCACCTCTTGCGCAAAGTTTCACATCTTGCAAAAGCATTTAAATGCAATGAGATACGGATTGAGTGGCCTTAGATATGAATGAACAGAACTTAAGTAACAGAGGAATTTGGAGGTGGAGTTATATATACTTTGATGATGTTAATTCAAAATATATTGATGGACTCTGAAGGAATCTGCATTAAAAATTTTGCAGTTTGAGAGACCAGTGTCCATTATGGTCCACAATAATCGATATACAAGAAGTTTTCGGCCTCTTATTTTATGCTCCACTTGCATCATTTGCATATTTTAGATTTTAGTTATGGACCTGCTTTTACGCTCTTTCGTAAAAGACAAAATGAGGGAACTATCCCAAGTCGACCAGCCAGTAACTGAAGCTAAAGCATCAAATAGCAAACAGATAGTATATCTGAGTAACGATAGTAGCGATAGTGAAAATGACAATGAATCGAGAAAGAGTTCGAAAAAAAGCAAAAAGAAAAAACGCAAGAAGGAAAAGGATAGGAAAAGAGACAGGTCGAGATCTTCGTCTGAAAGCGACGTAGATGATGAGAACTCGAGTCACAGCGGAAAACGGAGAACCAGTAGACATAAAACGTCAACTAGCAGGCACAAGGACAAAAGTGCGAGTAAAGCGAAAAGCAAATCGAAATCAAAAAGCGGTTTCTACGAAGAATACGAACAGGTTAAAGATCTTTTAGAACACATGGGAAATGGATTTATAAAAGAAGAATTGCCTATAAGGACAGACGCCTATGTGTACCGTAGAAACGGTGACGATTCTCGATCCAGAAATCGAAGTCGAAACAGATCAAGGTCACGTGATCGAAGCAAGAAAAAGCATGACCGGAGCCGAAAAGATAAGCGAGGAAGCTCGTCAGACTCTAGTTCGGAACGAAAAAATAAGTATAGCAAAAAAGATAGCAGAGCAGAAGTTAAAACGTATATTTTGCCTCAATTTAACACCAACGCCTTTTCTGCTAGTTTCAACACTGCGCCTCCCAAACTAACTAACAGCTCTAGAACTGTGCATTCTAATGTGAAAGGTACGACAACTACCAAAACCGTTGAGTATAAGTCGAAAGCTCCGAAAGAAGATCAGAGTATTGAAAGCTATGTTAAAATGTGTCGGCAAATCGCGAAAGATGAGACAGGTGAAAACGGCTCGGGTTCTCAAGACGAACCGACGAATGTTCCGTGGGTCTCGGATGACGAAGGACCCGAAGCTGCAACCGGTGCCTGGCGGAAACAAGACTTCGTTGTCAAACCAGCGAACCGAATCATTCAACTTAACATTCCGAATGCAACTCAGCTACAGATGCCAGTATACAAAACAGGCACCGAGTTAAGGGTGCAATTCCCGGTCGGGTCAGGTGAAGATCACAGGGAGCATAATCAAAAAATAGCCTGTGGAAAAATACCGGAATATGACCCGAAAGCCGATATTGTTTACGAAGAGGAAACCTTTAGAGCCGCAGAGCCAGCTAGACGGCCAGATATCAACAAACTAATGCGCGAAAAAGCAGCACTAACTAAAGCTCTTGAAGTTAATCCATACGACGCAGGTTCCCTGATTAAATTGCACAAACTAGAGAAGAGTATTTTTGAGTGGAGCAAACCAATCAAGGAACCAGGCAAGTTCACTGGAACCACCAAAGTCCAGGTTCTGAGTCACAAACAGCTGGAAGGAGACGATCACGGAGCCGGTGCCTGGGTTAGAAAAGATATGTTCAAACGTCTGAATAGGTTAAATGAAACTACAGCTGGCCCAGGAAAACGTTTGCTAGAAAAGATGGGCTGGAAGCCAGGTCAGGCTCTGGGCAAAAATAAAAATGGGTCAACTGAGCCTATAGATTTGAATTTTAACCTTGACCGAAAAGGTTTATGTGGCAGAGATGAAGTTATCGGAACTGGGCCTCAGTATGGGGCACTTGCGGGTCTTCAAGGCCGTCATCCGGTATCAGTTCTAGAAGAAGAATGTAGAAATAAAGGTTGGGGCACACCCTATTACGAGCTCGTTTCAGAAAGTGGTCCTCCACATAAAAGGATTTTCCACTTCAAAGTGAGAGTTAATAACGTTGATTATATTCCGCATTCGGGAAGCAACAGTAAGAAACAAGCGAAAACTGACGCGGCTGCGGGTGCACTTTTTGCCCTTGGTTTGAGTTGATTGGAAGGAAAATACTTCGAAATTTTCAAATTGATTACGAAATTGAAAATTCTTAAAGAAAATTCGAGGCTGTTCAGATTACTGAAAAACAGTTTTATCTCAGTTGTAGAGCAATATCTCTCAAATTCAATCTACAAATCGAGCCAGGTTGGGTTTGTATGCAAAATTGCATCCGGCAGAAAAGTATTGGATTGTTTTTTTTTTTCGAATTAGAAAAATGATGTAGAATTTTGCATACGAATCTAACTTGGCAAGATGTGACGTTTATCGCTCTCAAAAATTCGTCTTTCCTGGCTCAATCTTGTTACGGTTGAAGTTTACTTCAATTTGTTTCTGTTGGAGGCGAGTTCAAGAAAACCGAAGAATATGGAACGAGGTGGCGCAGCTGGTGGCGCGCGCAGCTTGGAGGCGCGTCCGGAAAAGGGAAATGAACTTCAAATATTTCTTGTTTAGAATGTATATAATTTTGCAATTAAAGTTGGAATATTTTTTTTAATATAAAAACAAGACTGCCCTTTAACTGGTATCGTTTAGATTTCAGTAAAAAAATTGAACGTAGTAAATTTTGAACGTAATTTGTTTATCTTTCCTCAACAACCAATATGAAATTTTTGCCCTTGTGATAAGCCAAGGTTTTTAATCGGGTAGTAGACTTTTTCCCATAACGAACCTTGTTCACAGGTTTCAGCACATCGCGTCATTTTAGCACCTGATGAATTTCTGCCTGCAGAACATGTTCGTACTATAGTTTCGCTTACTGGTCGAGTCGAGTTATAGCAATCGATGCTGTGAAGGCGGTAGATGCAAGTTCGTGCAAAGCTGTTTTTTTTAAAAATCTTTTGGCTGGTTTTAAGCGTATTGGATGTCGGCTTGTACCAAATGTTTTTTTTTTCGATTGATTTAACTCTGACAATAATTTTTTGAAACCTCACGACACTCCGTAAAGTTAATTTTTTTGTGTGTTTTTGTGACAGTTTTTAGTGTTAGTGACATTTTTTGTCTTTTTAGCCTGTTTTATATTGTAATCTTATTGGAAATAGCAATGGCGGTTGTTATAAGAGGCTAATTTATTGTTTACTTTTCGGTGCAGAAGATTTGCACATTTTCTTTCGATGCATTTGTTTTTGTCGGCTGTTTTCGTTAGCTGATTTGTTTTATTATTCTAACCTTCTTGACACCAGTAAGAGAGGCTGTTACTTCAGTCAGACAATATATTTTAACAAGGATAGTCGGTTGCTATGCAATTAGCTCTAAATGTTCCGACCATATTCTTAAAAAAAAAAACTTTTTTTTTTCAAATTGAATGTCGTTTTTTTTGTACGTGGTCTGATAGAAAGATTAGACGAAAGCCTGATATTTAAGCTTATTCGGCAATTTTCGTAAAATTGGTAAGATGGACAACAATTTTATTCAAAAATTGGCTGGAAAAACAAAAAAATGTAGGGAAAATATCTTAAAAGTTGATAAAATTTGTAAAACTTTTTTTGCAGATTTATTTGAATCCTAGAATGGCGCTGAAAAACTATCGAAAACTAATTAAATTTTAGCAAAGTCAAATGTTTAGGGCTTGAATAGGTCTATCTTTCTTTTTGTAAAAAGCAAATTTTACGCCTGCTTGCGCGCCTTAGTCGCTTGAAATTTATAGCCGTTTGGAAGTTTTTTAATGTCGTTCGAATCACGACTAAAAGGGCTTTAATGGGATATATCGCTTGAACTTGTCAGATGATTATTTGTGTCACCTGATTTTGCATGGACTACAAATCAGTGAAAAATTTTAAAACACCCGAATTCAAAGTATCTCCCATTTTCAATGGTCGGTACAAAAACGATTTCGATAGATTTTTTGCTAGTTTTGAAATGTTAATAATAGTTTTTCCCTAATACTGTAAATTTGGTCATGTAGGTTCACTGTTCAGATCCTTTTGTCAGTTTGATTATATATCCAGTAAAATAAATTTCAATAATAGTTTCGCACATTTTCTACATAAGTGGGAAATATTTTTCAAATTATGTAGTAGATTTCGAAAAAAAAAATTGATAGTTGTTCTAGCTAAGCTATTTCTGATATCGTTTTAGGTTTATTCTTTCAATATTTTGATAATGCACTTTTTGTTCAGTTTCATGTGCTGGTATGTTTCTTTTGTTTTCGTTCAACCCTTTCTGTTTTTTTTTCTGATAGAATTTTTTGGCTTTCGAAATGAAATTTCATTTTTGTTTTAAGCTTCATCATTTGCAAAACCATAGTTTTTTCGTGTCTAACTTGTTTTTGTTCTTGTTGATTTATACTGTTTCTCGGCTTTTTTGAAAGAAAAGTCGAAGAAGTAGTTTCTACATTTTTGAATTGAGAATCATTATTTCTCATTTTAAGGTTCCTGACTGGAATGTCTTTGTCTTGTTTGTATTATTGGCTTCTGCAAAACTCAGGAAATATTATCCGTATGGTTGGACAACAGAAAGACGTTCCTCACTGAAATGTCTTTCTGTCTCTGTTTGTATTATTGGCGTCTGCAAAACTCAGGAAATGTTATCAGTATGGTTGATACCTTTGTCTGATTTTTGAAGAAAAAATCAGGGCCAAATCAGAGCTAGATTTCAGGATAGTAATCTGTGCGATTTACAAATGGTTAATGGCTTGAATTGTGAGCAATTTTAAGCTGTAGATGCAAGTTTTAAACGTCGCTTTTAGTTGAACTTGTTGCTGGCTTTTTATAGATTTTCTTTTTGAAGCTGATTAGAGAATAAATAAGTGTCAAATGCACAATCGTCGCTTTCTTAATGTAAAATTTTTGAATAGCATGTGGTTAAATTTTGAGACGTTAATGAAGTGCTTTTGACCAATTGACTCTAATTATTGTAGCCTTTACGATTTTCCTAAAGAAGTGGGCATGGATCAGTTCTAGAACGTGGCCAAATTGGCATTTTCCAAACCCCGCAACCTAATCAAGAATGATAGCATGTGAAATATCTTTTTGAATCTGAAGTTGAATCTTCATTGGAGTATATATATATATTTTTTTGCTTTGAAAACTATTATTTCGATTAGTGAAGTTGGTCTGAATAAAAAATTCATACCAATCACCAAGCTTGCAATTAGCAAGCCTTATCAAAACCAACTATAGACTTTTTTGGCTAACAACTTGCTTAACAGAATCTCTAAATCGGTGTTTAGGAACTTAGACGACAGGAAATTAGACGATCAGAAAATAGGGTAATATAGACAAAAAACTTGCGAGCAAATTGCGTGAGTTTTAATTACAGACTTAAATTAACTTTTGGCTGAGTGAATACTGGTTTTCCGTAAATTTCTTTACGGTCGTCTAATTTGCTTGTCGCCTAATTTCCTAGGCCCCCTCTTAATCATTTTCGCAGCTTTCTGTAATAATATATCAAGATTGAAGTATCAATTTGGCCTGTATAGTGTAGAGATAACATAACGTACATGCTTCAGACGACAGAAGCACTGGCTTTGAATCTAGCTAGGAGCCGATTTTTTTTTTCTAAAATGTTTTTTTTTTTCAAAGAAATTTTCATGTTTTTTCTGCCTATTGATTGTCGACTGACTTCCAAACGGACCGAAAGATACCAATTTGTATGGTTTTTCACCGGATAGTTGCATCGATTTCAAAATTGAGCTTAGAGACCTGAACACTATTTTCAATGAGTTTATTTTTGTGGCAGGTTTTGTTGACTTATGGGGCTTGTGATTTTTTAAATTTTTGTATGAGATAAAGGATAATCGGTTGCTGTGCAAGTAGCACAGAATTTTCCAAACGCATTGATTTAGATGAGCACATTCGTAAATAAAGGAAAAAATTAAGTGAAAAATTATTCATCATTTCTTTGAAAAAATTTTTGATGTCAATAAATTTTTTTTAAAGAGCGATGGAAAAACTGCAAGAATGATAAATGATAAAAGCTAAAATTACGTGAATTTTGTGTAAAAATTAAATTTGAAGTAAATTTTGTGCCCTCGCCCTCATCTCACCAAACTTTGTTTTATTTAGTCTGAAAAACGGAAAAGTCAGATCAATTATTCTCGCCACTCATGCAACATTTTTTGGCAGTTTTTTTTTTAAATTCGCCTCATGGTATAAAGGACTTCATATAGTGGTACGACAGGGGGGTAGTAAAAGACGGCTTCATGAAGTGGTAGAAACAAATAGTGCTTAAAATACTTTTCATTGCATTAAGCTATTACGAACCAGACTCTATTGTGTGCTAACAAAAGCCAATAAAACAATCCAGACTAAGAATCAATGCTGTTAAGTATTTCCCGATACTTTTTTGCGCACATGTTTCTTCTCCTGTCTATTCTTTTTTCAGAAATTTGTCTTAAATAAGCGTTTTGATTGTTAAGTTTTGTTATGTCGTATGTGATTTACAGGTAAAGAAAAACTATATTTATGAACTATTGAAAACGTCAAGTATTGTAGTTTCAGATTTGTTATGCAATAAACGAGCGGACTTGTAGCTCGAACGTATTGCATTATTTTTTTTACCAGATCATATTTCCTCGACAAAATATCAGAAATGATCTTATCAAATTGTCTATTTTGATTACTGTTTCATCAAATTGGATCTTGCCATGTCATCTCCAAATCGAACAATAGCTGCTGCAGCCAGATAGTTTCCTATTTTGGCGAAAATTTCTTTTGATTTTCTGTCTTATTTGCCAATCAAGTTAAAATAGAATATATTTATTTAGCAATTATACTGGTTATTTGTTAGTAGTCATGGATAGCAACCGGGTGAACAACATAACTGATAGTCTGTGTTCGCCACAAAGTCTGTTGAATGCGGACACGTTCATGGACTGTATGAATGCACTGATTAAGGAAGTGTCCATTCCTGCATTCAAAAGCAACAAGTGTGTCGATGCATTCATCAAAAGGTGAGTAGAATTACACCTGGTTGGATCTTGATTCACTAGCGGTTACCAAAATCGTCCTTTTTTCAGTTTTCCAACTTCTTTAACCTCAATGTCTCTAGCACCTGATTTTTTCTCTTTTTTTTCAAGAATTATGTTACTACCAGCCCAATAGAAATCAGCTATTTTGTCCGTTTTTAAAAAAAAACAGTAAGTTTTGAAAAAAAAACAGCCAAAAATGCTGTTTTTGGATTTTTTTATTTGGGTTTGACCAAAAACAAAATAAGTATTGGCAGCTTTAGATTATTTTTAAGGGTCGGTTGGCCGAAAATGAATGTTTTAAAATTTCAGCAAAGGAGGGACCGTAGGTGGCGAATCCTGTAGCCTCTCACCTAAATCCGCTACTGGGTATATAGAAGAGTTTTGCTCTTTGGACGTAGTACCCAAAAGTTTTCAACAATTTTAAATTCTTTGCCGCAGAATTCTGAGAGAGTTGGGGTTAATTGATCGATTTGGCCAATAGTGGCCAAATCTGATGTCAATTCTTGTTATGAACAAGAATTTCGTCCTCAAAGTTTGGCGAAAAGCTCCTTCTGTAATCAAAATTTGAAACTTTTTCCTGTTTAATTGTAAAGGAACGAAATTATTGTCAAATATGTAGGTCAGGACGATTTTTTTGTTCACGCCCCGATATGATTTTTCGCCGTGTGAATTTTGATTTCTTTTTCAGTTGAGTTTTTTTGTTAAAAGGTAGGCAAACTCAACTATCTAACAACAAAAATGCAAAGGTCACGAAAAACGAGAAATACTTCTAGTTTAAAAAAGGGCTTTCATTTTCTGAATTCCCAGTCAAATAAGAAAATTTCCAGTTGATTCAATTTTCTCTAAATGGGATAGTTTTAAGAAAATTTCCTATCATAAACAATTCTTGAAATTGAGGAAGCTTTAACGTGATATATTTTCTCTTCGAAAGTTGAAACATGATCAAAAATTTTCAATCAACTTTTTTTCGGTTTTATTCTTTTTTGTTACACCTTGCCAACGTTCACGGAAGTCTTTTAATTCTGCTCCCACCCTCAAACTCTGGTCTCTTTGATGCTCTGCATGTTAACCCAAAAGTGCTTCAGGTTTTGATTCGAATTTATTGAGAAACATCAAAAGAAATTTCCATTTGTAGAAAACGGGTGTTTTTTTTCGCTCTTTACCTTATAATGCATATAATGATACAGTGAGAGGCAATCAGTTAATCGCTAATATTGAAAATAGTTTAAGAGGCTTAAATGTTCGTTTTACGTGATAAGTAAGTTATGAACGTAGTTCAGACTCTTGTCGCAATAATTTTTTTTCAGGAAAAGTCTTAAAATTTCTTTTTTTTGCGGCTTGACTTTTGATCTCTTCTTAAGTTCACTTCATTTTCTTTGCTAAAAGAAAATAAAACTCCACTAAGGATCTGCAAAATTGTAAAGGTCACGAAAAGCGTGGTTGACTTCTATTTTCGCAATTGGAGTTTAATTATCAAATTTCCCTGCGAAATAAAAATTTTGTCGATCGATCCAATTTCTCAAGTTGGGTTAATTTTACCAAAAAACGTTTCAATCTTGAATTGTTCTAAAAATTTAAAAGCTTTAAAGCCATTTTTTTTTTGAATATTGAAAGTTTTTTTTCTGTCCACGTGCGTTCATTAGCATATGCTGGCTATGTTAATTAAATTTTTAAAGACAATCGCCGTTGAATACCAAAATAATAAAGAGTTTGACATTTAGATTCCGTTGGCTGTAAATTTCAAAACATTCAGAACAAAATGAAATGTCATTGCGACAACACCGTGGAACTTTTTTGAATTTCATTCTTTTTCTACTATGGATAATTAATCAACGCAATAAAATAGAGGTATCTGGTGACAAAATTGAGAAAAGCGGGGAAATTAAAAACAATAGGAACTATATCTACCCTTGAAAGCAATTTTTCGTTTTGAATATTCTGCTCAAAAATGAGTTAAAAGTTGGTAGTTTCTTAGAATGAAGTTGACCAAAAATTTTAGAAATGTAGGTTTGAAACTATTGTGCAGAGCAGCCCCATGGAACGAATTCTGGGTAGTAAATCAAAACAAAAATGAGAGTTTTTCTAATTCTGTGACCATTGCGTTTTTTATTGCCTTTGTATGCTGAAAATCTGTTACTCAAATTTTAGTTAACGGTTTTTTCATTTACAACTTCTTTAAGTATGTTCGAGTTCCTCAAATGTCTTTCCTCAAATTGTTGCAAAGCAAATTTAATAATTCATTAATATGTACCTCCTTTACTCAGTAAATTTTTAAATTTTGTCTCGTATCTTCAATGCTCTCGTATTTTCTCTTGAATCAAATTATTCATGTGTGGAGTGAAGCATATGTGAATATATATCTTCAAGCATATGTGAATTGATATGTGGCTTCCTGAGAGCAACCGTTAGTTCTTATTGTTCCCACCACTGAAAGTGAGGAGGAACTTTGTATTCGGGTGTGTTTTAGTTTCTTTTTTTTCTAAATGCTGGTGATTGCAGGTACCGGAAGGACTACGATGCACTAGAGAGGTACAGAGTGAGCACCAGTGACTTCACTGTCATATCCATGCTGGGCAAGGGCGCATTCGGACAGGTACACTTTTATTACATTGCTGTTTTGGATGCTCTTATACCGTCAACCTTCTCCTCTAAAGAGAGCGTGCGTTCATATAATGTTTATTGTCAAGAAAATTAAATTTTCTCAGAATATCATTTGCTAACGTCTGCACTAGAACATAACGGTAGCTTGTTGCGCCTGAAGGTGGGTATTTATGTTTTGTTATCCAAGATAGTTCGAGATATAGTGGCTTAAGTTGGGTGGAAATTATGTATATATGTATAAAGACAAGAGCTTTGTTCAGGTGAAGTTAGTACGTCACAATGCGAGTGAGAATGTGTATGCGATGAAGTGTATTCTAAAGAGTGAGATGCTCACTAGGCCAGAGGGTATGAGCAGTTTCTGGGAGGAAAGATTCATCATGGCATTCGCTCGAAGTGACTGGATTGTCAAATGCCACTGGGCATTCCAGGTCAGGCATCGCTTCTTTTGTTATGTACGACAGTAGCTTGCTTGCTCTCCAAAAACACTTTCCGCTCTTTCGTTTTTTCATGTCTGTGCTTTGGTTTTACGTTGATGCTCTTGACTGTTGGTCGCCTTTAAGTAAAATTGAAAAGAAAATGGTTTCGTTATCTGTCATTCACTTTTGATTTTAAAGCGCTTTTTGAATCTGGGATTAGAAAACCCCATTTTTTTATTGTGGCTGAATGTTATGTTAGAATTAGAGACTTAACTTCTGGCTTAAGTTCATTATTGACTAACATGTGTTCCAGGACACCCGATACCTGTACATGGTAATGGACTACATGCCAGGTGGTAATCTATTGTCTGGGATCCTGGACAACGAGGAGTTGGTGACGGATGAGAACCTCATCTGCTTCTACACGGCAGAGATGATTCTGGCCATAGAGGCACTGCATAACATGGGCTTCGCCCACAGGGACATCAAACCCGACAACTGTCTAATCGACACTAAAGGTTGATTTTCATTTTGGACTGCAGATTTGGTAAGCTAAATAGCGATACTGGGATTAATTCAGAAGGCAACGATATACTGGATATACTACAGTGATTCATTTCTACCGAGATAGACTTGCGGCCTACGATAGAGTCATAAAAATCGTGATATTCTATGAGAGTAATTATGATCTGAAATGATCAGCAGCAGCTCGTCGCAAAAGTGAATGGTTTTTTATCTACCGTTTTTGCGAATAAATGTGTCAATAAGGCTGTGTCGTCAATCTCTACAATAATCAAGAATTTTTAATACTTGTCGTTTGCAGGTCACTTGAAGGTGACAGATTTCGGCACTGCAATTCGCGTGGACGCCGACGGTCTCATCCGCTGCAGCACAGCAGTCGGAACTCCAGACTATATCTCCCCCGAAGTACTGAAGAGCCAGTCCTCCAGTCGCAGTGTGTATGGAAGAGAGTGTGACTGGTGGTCTCTGGGTGTGGTCATTTTCGAGATGAAGTACCAGGACACGCCCTTCTACGATGACACTTTGGTGAAGACGTACTCGAGGATTAATAATCACGTGGACAAGATTGATTTCCCACCCGACGAGGAGGGATACGGTAAGAGTTGAGCATAATGTGTAGAACTTAAAGCGAAGAGTTTTAGTTGTTTTAGTTCTTCGATTTTGAATGAGACATCTCATTTGTATGGCTGTCTCGAAAAGTATGACTCGACCAGGTTGTTTGAAAGCATTTTTCATTTAATTATTTTTACAGTTATTGAAACTTTCCGAGCTGCTCAAAAACATTTTTTTAATACCGATTCCCTATGAGGTCAGCTACAAAATTTTTCTGTCGATGTAAATTAAGAGTCATTTATAACAGTAGACATGAAAAGTGAATTATTAGTGCTCGAGTCAGGATCAGTAGCGTGCCGAGGGGGCGAAGGAGGGTTAGCGAAATTTAGGAGGTAGCGATATTTGAAAAGAAGGGCTGAAAAGGGTCCATATGGCTTTTTAACTTTTTGTACCTCGAAAAGTTCCTGTTTCGTGAGGAAAAATCGATATGAAGAAAAACGGTTGTTTTCAGAACCTGCCTCACCCAAAATCATGGACCTCATTGAGAAGTGTCTCATCGCAGACCGGACGAAACGACTCGGACACAATGGTGCTAGAGAGCTGAAAGCCCACTCATTCTTCAGCAACAAACTATGGACATGGGAAAACATCCACACATACCCAGCTCCATTTGACCCCAAAATAGGCTCCGAAACAGACACGAAACACTTCAAGTACGACGCGCAAGAGGATAACACAAATAGGATATTCACGGGTGATATGGGGCAGTCCAAAAACCAGTTCAGCGCCGAACAAATGCCCTTCATAGGGTTCTCGTACTGCCCAGAAATGTTCGCACGACTCACTTCGGGAAGTGGAAGCACAGAAACAGTCATCAGTTTGCAGAAACAGCTCGACGAGGCGACGAAGCACTCGGAAAAGTATCAGAATAGTTACAACAAAGCAGAAATGAGTCGAGCTAAAGTTGAAACAGAGTTCAACGATTTGAAAAGAAAGTTGGCAAAAGTGGAGGTGGAAAATGAAAGTTACATGAAGAAGTTTGAAGACGTCTCTTCCAATTTACATAAAGCTAACGCAGAAAACTCAACTTACAAAAGTGAAATAGACTCTCTGAGAAATGAGAATAAAAAATTAAAAAGTGCAACTGGCGATAAATTGACAAATTTGGAAGAGGAGAAAAAGAACTTATCCGAGTCACTGCTTTCCGAGAAGAACAAAAACGCAGAAAGTTCTCGGAAAGTCGCCGAGATGGAAAAACGATTAAAGGACATTCAGACTCGCTGGGAACGAGAATGCGACGAAAACAAAAATTTGATCAGCGATTTGCAGAACCGTCAAAAAGAGTTTGACACTGTTTACGGTGAGCTGAGCTCAAGTCAAGTCAAAGTGAATTCATTGGAAGATACAGTCAAGTTCCAAAAAGACCAAATAGCTTCATTGACCAAAAGTGAAAGTGATGCCAAAACTACTCTTGCCGAAAAGACAACAGAGCTTGCAGAGGTCAAAAGGTCTCATGAGCAGCTAAGAGTGATGCATGAGCAATCCAAAGAAAAGATTCTAGAACTTACAGCTGAAATTGAAGGTCTAACAGAGAACGCCAAAAGTTCAGCGATGCAGGAAGAAAACGATGAGATTAATGGTTTGAAAAAGCAGTTAGCTCAGGAATTTGACGCAAAAAGAGCATTGGTTGAGAAACTTCGTGGAAAAGAACAAGAACTATACGATGCCAAGTATGATTTAGACGCAAATGAAGAGATCATTTCAGCATTGAAAGTTAAGAGTTCCGAAAATGAAAAACAAATCGAAAATTTAAGCGAGAAATTCAATGAAATCAAGATCGAAAAGAGCAAGTTGAAGGTAGAAATGACTCATAAAACAGCAGAAGTCGAGAGTTTGAAAACAAAGGAGTATAATTTGGGAAAAGAAATTTCAGCTCTGAAGGAAAACAAGAGGTTTCTGGAGGCTGAAAATGCGCGGTTGGAGCAAGAATTGGAATCGTCACGACAAACGGTCAAAGATGTTAATGATGAGTGTGAATCATTACACATGAAAATGACTCTTTTGAGCAACAAGGTCGACGATTTGAAAGATGATAATGCTGAGATCGAGAAGGAGCGAGATGAAATAACGGAGAAAGTTCAGGCTAAAGAATTAGCTCTGAAGAATTTGGAGGACAAATTGACAGAAAAGGAGAAAAAGATTTCAGAGATGGACTCGAAAGTAATGGAATTGACGCAAAAAGTACACTTGGAGAAAATAACCCACGAAGAGGAAATTAACAAGAACAAGTTCAGTATTGATAAAAAGACGGAAGAAATTGTAGAGTTGAGGAATTTGGTGGAAAATGGGAAAAGTGAAATTAGCGACTTGAATGGTAAAATCAAGAGTCTAAATGAAGAAATCACTCAGTTGAACGAAAAGATAAAGACTCTGCAAGGTGATAATGGAAGACTATTGGAGGAAAGAAAACGATTGATTGAACATTTTTCGAACTTCGTGAACAAAGGGGACTCTGCGGCTCATTCGGGCGATGGGGATAAATTAGCCCCGGCCATTCCACCTTCAGACAAAGGCAAAGAGCACGTGACCGCATTGATTCGGGAGAAAAAGAAACTGGAAATGGAATTGGACAATTACAAAAAGTATTTGAAAAAGTACGAGACTGAAATAGCAGGAGTGCGCCATGAAATAGACACACTGAAAGATACGTATGAAACAGTAGTCCAAGAGAACCAGGACTTGAAGGCAAACATGCACAAATTGAACGAAAGTATACGAGACGGTCGAGGTCTTTCAAACGTCTCAGATTCTATCATGGTTCCAAAGCTAGACGGAACCATGAAGCTTGACGAAGTTCGCAGGGAAGGAAAATTAGAAATTCAACAAAGTCAACTGATGTGTTTTGTCTCGGACAAAAAGGCGTCGAGCAAGAAAAGTCAGAAATTCGTGGAGCAATATGCGGTGCTAGAAAGTAAACAGCTACTCTTTTACAAATCAACCGAAGATTATAAAATGCGCAAGACCTATACCCAAGCTGTAGATTTGACGCGACTTGTATATGTGCGAAAAGCGGCGCCTAGTGAACTTTTCCGAGAAAAGAAAGAAGATGTTGAACAAAAAGTCTTTCAAATTGTGTTCAGTCAAGATGAAGGAATAGTGCGTAAAAAAGACCCAGAAATCATATTCGAATGGCATTCCCACCAGATGCGAGACTTCACCGGAAATGTGGCGAACTTATCTTGTGACGCTTGCAACAAGCCCTTCAAAAACGCAACATTCACCCTTCGTTCCACGTCTGTAGCAGTAATAGAATGCAAACACTGTGGTAAGAAATACCACAAGGACAACTGGAATGAAGAGAAAATGCAGATGCATAAATGCCCACTTGCCAATAAAGCCAACGACATTGTAATGTATATCAAAGCCAGTAATCCAGTAGATAAACAAGAATGGATGAAGGAGTTAAATAAGTTCTTGGCTAGTATCCAGCGCAAGTCCGTCCTACCCCAGGGGGCCTCAATGCGGGCCTCACACGTGGGCGCTTTTCCACTTTCTCTGTCATCATCACCGGGTTCCGGACTGACAAGTTTCATGCTGGACTCAACTGCACCGAACACTGGAAGAAACAACTCGACCGCTTCAGGATCCAACACCGATGAGAAAGCTTTGTCGAGTAATTCCGGTGATTACAACAGTGCAGATGACTAGGATTCTAGAAGCACATCTTTAATATGTGGATGCTGTAATAATTCCAGAGTCAGTCAATAATGTCAATGAGCAAAAAGTTCAGAAAACTGAAAGCTGTAAATGGTCATCTTCATCTCTGACATATTAAAATTTTGGTCTTAATTAACTGATTGATATCATGCCAGGAAACAGTTAATTATTAAATCCACAAATTAAAGCTAAATTAATTATACGTGCATTGAATGCATAACTTCCAATGTCTTCTACCAAATTTTTATTTGTTTGCTCTAACTGATAAGTATTGTTAGACAGTATGCACACTTTTGGGGCGTTCGCCGTCAAATAACCAAAGAACAGGACAAACATCACGACTGAAAAGATATTATCATGAGAGTTAGTTTTTCTTTTATCCATTGTGTAAAACAGAACGCCTCTTTTCCCATGGTTGCCTTCGTTTCGAATTATTTTGCCTTCTTTTCAATATTTTTGTGTGATTTTCATATTCTTGGTCATTTTGGCTATATATTTTTGTTTGGAGAAATCAATGAAGAAGCTTTCAAATTATGTTAGCGAAATCAAGACCTTTGTTTACAGTGTTTTGATTTCCAAAAGAAGCGCAGGTTGCTACAGCGAAGATTAAATTGTGCCATTTGATAATTGATAATCTCAAATTCTGTTAATCATCGCTTTAAAAATTTATAATAATACAATTTCTCTTTTTTGGACGATCAGATTTCCTGTGGTTAGTTTTTCGCCGTCCAATCGAGACCTGGTATTACTCAAGCGTAGTGCTTTACAACCAAGTCCACATTTTTCCAAACAAAGTCAAATAACTATATCTTTTTTGAAGCGCGTTATCAGGTGCCTGCTACCTACGAATCAAGTATGCGTGAAAGTAGATAAAAACAAGTGGAAATGGATGGCTGCTGAGAAGAAGCAACTCAAAAACCGGAGGTGCGGGTTCGAATCACAAGTAGAGTCTATACTTATTACTTGAAGGTGGGGTCAATTTTTCTTGGGCCATAAATTAACCATGAAAGTGCATTTTTTTTTGTTCTATGAAGATGTCAAAGGTATTAATGTATGCCGTTATCAAATTTACAGCAATGAAATTGGCTTGTTAAGGTCCTTTTTTCAAATCAGCTGCATTTTTAAACCTTTTTTGAAAAAAACTGCTTCATCAATACATACCATTAACAGTTTGTTATTGTTTTTTAAAGCCTACCTTCTGTTGCTGGGGTTTCTTGTTTCTGTAAAAAAAACGGCGAAGAACTGAGTTTTTTAGAAAAACTTCTTGTGTCCTTTTTTGAAAAGTATTAACATCAATTTGCCTTTTTGGAAGGCATAAAATTTTCAATGCCTTAATTAAGTAGATTTTTGGTTTGGATTTACCTATTACACGAGCTTAGGTTAGTGTGATAGTACGGTGCAACTTTTTTTTCTAACCTAAGTTGCTAATAAAAGTGCTTTTACATTAGATTTTAATGATTTAACACTTGATGATTTTATAGTTCACCAAATGAATCCAAAAATGCTATTTTCATAACGGTATATTTATTGAAATCCCATTTCAACTCAATATACTTCGCGAGATTTTTGAAAGGCGTAATTTATACGCTATTTGCTTTAATACCTGCTAATTTATTACATGCAAATTAAGTGTGGTTGTCTTTAGTCAAATAAATTTCAAATTTTTATATGTAAAATTGAATTTTGTGCATTTTAAAGCTTCCGTATTTTTACCGCTTTCTCGCTCGTGTTTGCGAAGCTGCTGCTTTACCCCAGTGTTAAGAGTAATGAACATAGTGAGTACTCTAATATAGGTATTGGTGATTTTTCTTTTTCAGGAAAAAGTTCACGCTCATTGTTGCTCTTTTGCCTGTTCTGCAATAAACATGTCAAAATATGGCTCCGTAGAATAAAAGAGCTTTTTTGTAGTGTTGTGCTTGTTCTCTATAGCCCTACAAGAATCAGCCTGACCACGGAACCAATAACAAAAGCTTCAACAAGCTCATCTAAGTCGAATATTATTTGATAAAACTAATTGAAAGAAAATCTGCGTTACCTCTGAAACGGATAGCTGAAATGACACCGTTTCAACCTGATTTTACCCCTGCGATAAGCAATAGTATTGCAATCGGCTAGTAGACTTGTTTTCCGGTGAATAATATTGTTCACAGGACTCATATTTTAGAATCATTACTCTACTGGGCCTTTCTGTTGCTGCATACATGTTTTGAGCATGTTAGCCCTTTTAATATCCGATCTAATCGAAGTTTTCTTTTTGCGTTGGTAGTAATTTCAGCAACTCGATTTGTTAAAGTTTCATTTTAGTTTTTTTTCAGCTTAACGGGTTTCGGCTTATTGTTTATCGACTCAATGGCATCTTAGTGCGTCGTTTGAGATCCAAATTTTTTGTGCGTGTGTGTGTTCTTAGGGGAAGAGGGATTCAGAAAATTTTGTCTTAGTTCTGAGTTTTTTTAATTTTTTTTTCGACATGATGGGTTTCTGTTCAAGTTTTAGTTTTTCAGTTTGTTATCGCTTGGTAATTGTAAGTTCAATTTCAATCATTCATCCGTCATATCTCGCGTAGAAGTAACACAACTGCTTCAGACGGCAAAAGCTTGTTGTTAGAATTTGACCGGGACCTGTGTTTTTTTTTGCAAACTAGTTGTTGTGCTTTTTGGGACTATAGTCCGTCTGTTATTTTTTGTAGGCTTGTTTCCCGTATCCCGAGTTTTTTTGATCGATCAGCTTCTTTCCAAGTTACTTGAACAACCATGCTCGAGAAGACAAAGCCCACTAGTTCGATTCCTGACGAGACCTGTTTTTTTTTGCAGACTGGAAATTTTTCGGCTAGCTTAGATAATGGTCTTTCTGTTTTGTCGGTTTAGTTCCACAGAAAAGACTTTTTGAAAATTTAGTTTCTTTTTAGCATGCAGAAAGCATCTTGTAAAATTTCAAATGGTGCAGGCATTTTTTCTTTGCTATTTAAAGCTTTGTTGCAAATTTTATATATTTTTTCCGACAAACTTTTTTTTGAATTTTTTTTATTTCCTCTTGATTTTTTTCATTGGAATTTAACCACAGTCGTTCGTTCTTGTATCACTTATGGTGCGAAGCTCAGCTTTTTCTCTGTATAACAATTAATTGCTGCGTAGATCATGTTAAAGTAGGACTTTATCAATTTATTCAAGTTTTTTATTTTTGTTGTAGTCATAGGGCTCGACAATATAAAGCCGAGGAAAGTTTTAAGTTGGTTTTGAGAAGAAATTTGACGCCAATAGAAATAGAGAGGTGCATTATTTGATAAGGACAGTAAGCATTTTGACTTTTCAAAATTACAAACGGCACTTAAGTCTTGCATTGTGGATTTTGAAGTCAGCTTTTTTGATTGCGAATCAAAAGGCATGGGAGCTCATTGAAGCCATTAAGAATTATAAATAGTTCAAATATTTCGCAATGCTAGCTTTTTACAAAGACATTTATGTTGAGATGTCAATTTTGAGCTGTCAAAGTTCAGCCGCCAACTACAAGAATTATTTTGGCTGTCTGAAAGCAAAAGCCGTTAATTTGCCGTTAAAAAAAGTGGGCGACTTAAAAACTCATGATAGAGACTTCATTTTATTTTTTTTCTCAAAGGGGCCGACAAAATTTAGAACACAAGTCTTCCCTTGAAAATAAAACTTTTCTTCGAAGCACTGATTTGCATTGGATTTCGTTCTTATCTATTTTTTTTAACTAAATTTAATTGAAAAATTTTCTGCCATTTTTAAGCAGAAAAAAAAAATCTGATATAAACGGAAACAAGTTATGCTGATGCTTGATAATGAAATGTAATTCATCTTTTGACCTTCAAAATGAAAGATTTTCCCGGGTTTTTGGCTGAGTGAAAGTTAAATAGCTAATTCTATGTAACTTATTGGATAAGCTCAAATCAGGAGCATAGGCTCTTACCTAGTTTTTTTTTGCCTTAACCTGTTTCCAGCTAAACGGTTAAAATATGTACCTATCAGACAAATCATCATGTTTTATAAAAGTTCTTACTAAGTGAACTTGAATTTTTTTTTCGAAATAATTACCGTTGCTCATCGAATAATCACTTAGGGTTCAGTCGCATTATTTGCTGTAAATTTAAGCTTTTCATCTTAGAGATGATTAATGAATCTGTTGTGAAAATGAAAGATATGCGCTTAATTTACATCTGAAAGAAATCATGTGGATTTTGATATCAATTATGTAAACCATATGACTACTGTGTGGTTAATCCTTGTTTCAAAGAAAGTAAACTAATATTCATGCTTCAGTTAATTTTTCAGTTGGATTCGACAGTCGAAATGTTAGTTTGCAACAGAAAATTTTTGTACCCAAAGAAACAGTTTGTTCAAACCTAGTTTGTTCAAACTGAGCATGTTAGCCCTTTTAATATCCGATCTAATCGAAGTTTTCTTTATGCGTTGGTAGTAATTTCAGCAACTCGATTGGTTAAAGTTTCATTTAAGTTTTTTTTTCAGCTTAACGGGTTTCGGTTTATTGTATATCGACTCAATGGCATCTTAGTGCGTCGTTTGAGGTCCAAGTTTTTTGTGCGTGTGTGTGTGTTCTTAGACGAAGAGGGATTCAGAAAATTTTGTCTTAGTTCGTGAGTTTTTTTTAATTTTTTTTTCGACATGATGGGTTTCTGTTCAAGTTTTTCAGTTTGTTACCGCTTGGTAATTGTAAGTTCAATTTCAATCATTCATCCGTCATATCTCGCGTAGAAGTAACACAACTGCTTCAGACGGCAAAAGCTTGTTAGAATTTGACCGGGACCTGTTTTTTTTGCAAACTAGAGTTGTTGTGCTTTTTGGGACTATAGTCCGTCTGTTATTTTTTGTAGGCTTGTTTCCCGTATCCCGAGTTTTTTTGATCGATCAGCTTCTTTCCAAGTTACTTGAACAACCATGCTCGAGAAGTCAAAGCCCACTAGTTCGATTCCTGAGGAGACCTGTTTTTTTCGCAGACTGGAAATTTTTCGGCTAGCTTAGATAATTGTCTTTCTGTTTTGTCGGTTTAGTTCCACAGAATGGACTTTTTTGAAAATTTAGTTTTTTTTAGCATGCAGAAAGCTTCTTGTAAAATTTCAAATGGTGCAGGCATTTTTTCTCTGCTATTCAAAGCTTTTGTTGCAAATTTTATTTTTTTTTTCGACAAACTATTTTTTGAATTTTTTTATTTCCTATTGAGTTTTTTCATTGGAATTAAACCACAGTCGTTCGTTCTTGTATCACTTATGGTGCGAAGCTCAGCTTTTTCTCTGTATAACAATTAATTGCTGCGTAGATCATGTTAAAGTAGTACTTTATCAATTTATTCAAGTTTTTTATTTTTGTTGTAGTCATAGGGCTCGACAATATAAAGCCGAGGAAAGTTTTAAGTTGGTTTTGAGAAGAAATTTGACGCCAATAGAAATAGAGAGGTGCATTATTTGATAAGGACAGTAAGCATTTTGACTTTTCAAAATTACAAACGGCACTTAAGTCTTGCATTGTGGATTTTGAAGTCAGCTTTTTTGATTGCGAATCAAAAGGCATGGGAGCTCATTGAAGCCATTAAGAATTATAAATAGTTCAAATATTTCGCAATGCTAGCTTTTTAAAAAGACATTTATGTTGAGATGTCAATTTTGAGCTGTCAAAGTTCAGCCGCCAACTACAAGAATTATTTTGGCTG